TATTAAAATAAGTTCTCTCTCTCTTTTTCATTGCAAATTTTAATTGTTCGTATAATTAGAAACTTGTAATGTATTTATTAATTATATTATAATTGAAAATTTGTTATAAATCAATATTGTGTTGCTTTTTAGTATTATACCTAACTCTCTATTAAATGTATGCACATAATAATATGATTGAAATAAATTAATATTAATACAAGCTAAGAGGATTAATGAGGCAGCAAAATTAGAGATAATCGTCAGGAATGATTAAAATATTACGGAATTAGAGATGTATCTGTATTTGGCATTTGCAAGATAGATCTGTTTGTCATTCGTAGTATTTCGTGAAACACGACTTTACACAATTTCTTGAGCGTGACTGTAATTCTTAGGTTATACACAGCGCAAGCTCTATTAGCTTGCAACACATGCGCGTACGTCGGGTGCATTTGGGCAAAATCCGTTAGTTCAACATTCCGGGTAGTCACGTGGCGCATTTACGGCGTAACTTTCCAGATTAGATCTGGCGCGCTACATACGTCTATATCCACATGTGGATTCAAGTCGAGAGCGCGTAGATAGAGGTCGAAGTAAAGTAAAAGGCCGCGAAAGGGTAGCGGTGGGCGCGTAAAGCCGCTTTCGGAGGGAATATTCGTTGGTAAAGTTTGCCGGCGAAATGAAGTTGGTAAGTTTTTAAATTTTGCCGTGCCAACCCCGGAATATAGATCCTTGGGTAATCTTGCGCGAATGTCCTCGCGCCCACAATGCTCCGGACCCTTCGAATTCGCTGCGTTGCTCGAAACTTTTTATTCCCACACGTAATAAATCTCCAAATTTATTACATGTAATAAGCACATCAAATTTATTCGAGCGAGCGCGTAAATTCTCAGTCTCGCTCAATTCTCCAGGTAATAATATATTCTTTTCTTTAAAACAGAAATATCAGATACTCTTATACAAGACTTGCAAAATACATATTGCTTGACAAAATATTTCTTAAGTATCGTTTAATATTTTAGGAGTTTATTTTTGAGATAATTTTTCGATTTACGTGCTTTCATTTATTATTATTTATTTGCCGTTTAAAAAAGACGTTTCTCTTAATATTTAATTAGTTATTACGAAAAATATTATCACGTGCCTCAGTAATCGAATTGGACACTCGTTATGGAATGTAGAGCGGTTCGAATTCAGGTTGTAGTGATATTTCATACAATAAATTATTTACAATGTTGAACTGGAAATAGTAAGATTCAGAAAAACATTATTAGGCACTAAAATTTACTTTGACG